ATAACAGCCAGAACAAAAGGAATGCATACAAGGTTGAAGGCTGTAATAAAAGTGATATTTTCATCAAATTGATCCTGTATGAAGAGCTCTACCATTGTGGCAGACACGCAGAGAAAGTACAACACAGATCCTTACCAAGATTCACCAGTCCAATTTGCAACTAGATTAATGAGAAAGGACAATACAGATCCAGTCTACCAGCTAACTTCTTGGTCATCTAAGGGAAAATTGGAATGATGCAAATTCAAGTCAAAAATAATCCTAATACATATAAAAGGCCAGAAAACCTGATATGGATCAAGAAAGAGGAATGTTGCATAATTTATTCTATTTGCTATATACCTGATACAGTCATGCAGTATCTCCTGACAAATCATACATTGTAATGATTCAGCTAGAGCATCATCTTTAGATTCAGATTTTCCCTTCTGATCTTCTTTAGTCTCACAAGATGTTTTAGTTCTCTTAGATGGTGGTTCTTCACCTTCCACAGACTACAAGAAAAGATAACTTGTCAGGCAGAGTGACATACACCCACATGCTAGTTTCTGCAACAACAGTGACCATTGCCAAAAATGAAATATTTTCCAAAGCAATATGCTTAGTTTTAAGATTATAATTTGTCAGGAGTACCTTACAGAGAGAGATTAAAAGTACCAAGACTCACACACAAAGAATTTACAGTCAGATTCTATTCCTTGCCTTCTAGAGAGTTCACACGGAAGAAGGTAAAGAAACATTAATGGATTAATGAAGCTAACAACATTTATATTCTTTTCATCAAGAAGTAATACTTCCATAAATACTTTTCAGTCGAAGGTATTCTATTCAAAATTCATCTATTTTCATACTGTAGTCTCTACTTGTGACTTCAGCCAGTGTATCTATAGGAGAGTACTTCCTATTATATCTAACTATAAGAAAATGACACTACCTTGAGACGTTTCAGCTTAGGATCAGGGGAAGGAACCACATTCAAGTCATCATCTGAAAAATCACATTAGCACTGTAAACATATGAATTTACTTTATAATTTTGAAAATAGTTAGCAATCATGTGACATTGAGTAATCAAAAATATTTTCTTTATACTTCTTGTCATGTTTCAAAAAGAACCTCAAATTTAGTACCTCTGGTACTACACAGACAGACAATAGAGTGAAAAGGATAGTAAAGAGATTTTTCAAGAATATAATCATTTTTATATTAGGAACATTTATAGCCGCCACATGCAACATTTCCTCTTCAATGTCTATGATTCCTGTAATTTCAGAAAAACATCGCAAGATAATGACACACAGTTTAATCACATGCACTTTAAATAGAACCCATGAATAAAACAGAAACCCACCAACTAAGGTTGAATCTCCAACATTGACATCAGATTCTTCTTCTGATTCTTCTTCTTCCTTTTTTAATTGTTTCAGCTCTTGATAGACGAAACCCACATCTAGACATACCAGTAGTAAACAAAAAAAATATCTCAGTGCCAAAATTTAAACTAGACAAAATTACCTGCCATTGAAGTCATTCCCCTATGGCAGGGTTTCTCAACTGTTGGCAAGCGTGTGCCATTTGTGTAGCATCTGCGCTTGTAAAGTGATGAATTGGAAAAACACACAAAAAAAGGTAAAATAACGGTAAAAAGGAGGTGAAACAAAAGCACCTTTTAGGTATTGTCATATTTTTGTATGGAAAACACAATAATATTCTGGAGTTCATGATTAGGGACCGGCATAGCCTATGTTGCATAGGTATACTGACAACATTCTTTTTCATTCATAACTCTCCAGCTTCAGGAGGCTTTGTGTGGACTTTGAAACCATGTTCAAGGCTCTTTGATAACAAAAGTGGCGCTTAAACAAATTCACTCGAGAAACCCTGCCCTATATGGTGTATATCCAGGATAGTCAGTATGCGAAAATGAAATTCAATCCAATATCGTTCTTTTACTGAAATTGAGGCCAAAGGTTTTAAGCCTATAAAATAAGAAATGTTGTAGTTCTTGCAATTCCTCTAAACTATGTGCTTTTAGCTAAGTCTATCAGTAATAGTGATCACAGCTCACCGTCAATTTTTGAGCCTTCAAATCCATGTGTGTCCACGTTAATTGATAATTAGTTAAAATGACGACTTGTATATATATAATATACTCTGTGGTATATAAAAAAGGCATATATAGAAATAGTGGGTCAAAATCCTAGTTAGAAGTATTTTTAATAATGCGATTTTTATACATTGAAGACGAAAATTATTCCCCCTAAATGGCACCTGGCAATAGCTTTGTTTTTGTGGTTTTGCACAAGCTGTCTGACCGAAAATTGGAATGGAGTAAATTGATGCGATCATGCTGTGTTTAAGGCTAGAAATTGTGTACCTCCAACTTTTTGAAATTCTGTATTTCTGTATTTAATGAATTTTTCTCTTTTTAGTGAAGGTTTTATTATGATCAGTAGAAACATTTGGAAAAGAAAGAATGCTTGTTGTACTTGTCAAATTTGATCCCATTACAGAGATACTTACTTAATGATGGATCATACTTTTTATACACAACGTAAAATTCATCACCATGTTTCAAGTATTCAGCCTAGAAAATAAAAGATCTTAATTTCAATTGACAGTCCAAAGATTCAGTTATCTTGATCAATTTGCATTAAAGTCATTTTCTTCCCAAAAAACATCTTTGGAAGGACACATGTGTGACATTGGCATTGGCATTAGATGCATCGTATCATGAATACGGGTTGTGACATGATCAAATTAAGCCCACTACACTTTGGTTTGTGGACGTGGAAATGAGATTCCTGCTTTTAAGTCTGACCAATCAGATCAGTAGAACGGAAATGTAAACAAAACACTTAATTACTGTACCGTCCATAATAATCAAAACAATTAATGGCATGTGGCTTACATTTTGATTACATTCACAAACAAAACATTATGACAAATTTGTTTTGTAGCTATGAATATGTCATTTCTCTCACTTGTATTACCACGGTCTCGAGGGCGTGGTTTGGACTCCATGTATTATATGTAATATAAGCAATAATATCATCACGTATCTAATGTATATCTCAAATGGTAGATAAATTTTAACAACATACTGCTCTTTCATAACTTGATAACTTCACTTCCTTATTTAACAAAGTACCATTGGAACTGAAAGAAGGGTACAAAAAATAAACGACTTAAATACATTCCTTACTAGCCATGGTTCACTATTTTTGGAGGTTGATTTGGCCTTGAATATAGTCTTTAGAAGAACCCGTATCAGGATTGTATAAATATCAGATAATTTCTTCAAAAATACCTTTATGACTCTGAATTTCACGTTTAATTTTTTTTCTGTCAATAGTTTTGATGGTACATTGTGAACACTATTACTGATTAGCTTAGCTGAACAATTCCAGTTTCTGAGACCAAAGTATGATTGGCCTTTAATATTAGATAGCAACTTGATAGCAGATTGTGACATGATAACAATCATTTCTATCAAATAAGTAACATGCCATATAGGGCCTATTTTGTGCTTTCTGCAGAAAAAAAGCTTTTATCTTTGTAGAACATTTTGTTAAACATTTCCATTATCAAAAACATTGTAAATTATACCTGAAAATATTTCTAAAGTATGCTATTTATATCTATGATTCTACTTGATCAAACTGATTGTGTTTTAAAAGTATCAATCAAAAACTACTATTAGCAGTCCAAACCTTTATAGATATGAGATAATAGATATTTCTCTACAATCAGGCGTTTATTTTACTCAAATCCTTCCAATAGCTTTCTAATAGATTCCAAAAAGCAAAACACGTAAACTTACAAGAGCTTTCTAAATAATTTAAAAAAATTAATGGCTGAATTATTTTAGTTAAAACTTTCAGATACCTTAAGGGACACATATCTCTAAATTTGAGTGTATAGTTTTCACAAATTTGAGAGAAAAAAATTTTTTTTTACCTACAAAAAAAAACAGAATGATCCTTTAAAGGGACAGATTCACCATTTTCGGGTGTTGATTTGGGTTTGATTATTGCAAATAGTCTTCAAAAGTACTAGAACTATACGAAAATCTCCCAAATCCCGTTTCTGAGACACAGATATGATTGGTTCAATGAATGGCGAATCTATCCCATGAGGGTAAAAATCATGACTTCTGATCCTTTGATCTTAACTATCTTGTTTCTTGTTAATCCAGTTCCCTCCTCATGGTTTCTCCTATTCCTTTGTTGTAACTTTTATCTTAAACTTATGTGTTCTCATATTTTTCATCAGGGCATCATCAAGTCATTTTAGGACTAAGAGACCTATTTTGAAACCCAAGTTTCTATTCTCATATAAATCATCAGTAAAATTTTGTGAAGTGAAGAACGTGGCAAGACATCAGACCCTATAATGAAAAAAGCATATACAGATCTATTCTTCTGGACCTGTTGAACCAGATAAATAAATAGAGTACCCACCTTCCATCCTCTAATATTATACCTTTTTCATCTTTCTTAATAGAACAATGAAGTCTGGAAACATACTTATTACCAACTAGCGGTATATCACAATCTGAAATTTACAAGTGGAGAAAACTGAAATCCATTATCTTCAAAATATGCAGCTATTACAAACTTTGTCTTATACCTTGATTTCAATAGCCACCTTTCTTGTTTCGTAGAAGTTTTTAAATGCAGTGATTCAACTGAATTATATACACATACACACCAATGAATACAGCAATCAGCTCATCATCAACAGAAATATAAGCTTTAAAAACACAATGTTCAAAGTCTATTTGTTGAGGGCTCTGATTGGTTGTACTCATTGGCGTACAATCCAATCAAATCGCTGCATTCCATGGTGATTGGCCTACAAGGTAGGTTTTTATAGTAGTAAAGGTACAGTATAAAACATAGATCATAATAGCTGGACAATGCAAAGAAAAATTTACATAAACTTTGAATGCTATTCTATAGGCGTTATGATGGCCACAGAAACCAGGTTTTAGCCGACTAGGAAGGAATAAAATAAATGTCCAAAAATGGCCAAATGTGAAAACCAAGTATAAGATGTAGGCCTTCAGTCAATAATTTGAAGAAAAATGGACATATATTGATTGGACCACAAACTAGCTCTGTAGGCCTACTCAACTTGAGCTGAGCAATATTTTTACTGTAGTCTAGGCCTATCTGCATTCATCATCATACCAAAATCGAAAATTAGTCCCACGCCTACATCTACTGATTCTGATTACTTTTTATTGACTCACATGTACTAGACAGAAATAAAAAGCCCTGTTAAATGGGGATATTCCGGCAGGTGCAGGGATTTTAAACCTTTTCATACCTCAGGTACAGATGGAAAGATGAATATTTTTGTAGTTCAGTCATACAATCATTTTCTCCCTACACCATTTAAATCATGTCCCCGGTTCAATTTTTGTGTGCACAGCCGAAAGTTCAAATGTCACAGAGTCAGCTGATACTAAACAAAAGTTACAGTGTTGACCAACACTAATTTATAATCATCATAAAGGTAATTCAATTGATGTTAGAGAATACACATTTTTAGAGGTGTGGAAAACCCCCATTTAACAGGGTCTTTTTCTTCTGACTCCAACTGACAACTGTCAAAATATCCATAAGAGGCTGGAATAGAGGCAAATGTTTCGGATTACAAAAGTAGGCCCACTAGCCTTACTTGGCTTTTATGGCTATAATCCTATGCAGGTTTATAACTATCCAGTTTGAACCATTATTACATCTATGCCTTGAAGAGTTGAAGTTCGTGTGAAAATTGATCCAGACCAGTGTGCAAAACGCCAAACTTACAAACCTGAATGTCTGCCAATGACGAATGGACTTTTGCTGACAACAATCGCAGGACTGTCTACATCCGTTAATGACACTAACTGAGCATATGGTTCCATTTTTGCCTCATCCATGTCGACTGTTTGACGAATTTATAACCAATGTACATTTCGAAATAACTGTATGTTTCTTAAAATAGATCAAAACAATGAAGTTATCGAACAGATTCACAACATACATGGTCGAATCAAAGAAGTAGGCCTACTATTATCTATTTCAAAAAATAAAAATAACCTCTTTTAGAATTATTCTATTAGTGCCAATAGCCTATGCAATGTTTATAAAGATACTTTAGGTAAATTAAAACCGAAATATCAAAGATGAACATGCATATGATAAAAAAAAATGTAAAACTGGAGCTGTGAACAGTACCAAGCGTGGCAACGAGACCTTATCCCATTGCTTTTGGACCTTATGAAACTTCTAGCTTGTTAGCTTTCAACCTCGGCGCTTTAAAACCTAGGCTAAATTTTGAAATTAAAACTCTCGGATGTAGCTGATAAATAAATACATAGTATTCATGGCACTCCCGAAATGTCACCTCAAAATTCTCAATTTGTAAAGAATAAGAGAAGAAAAAGGTACGTGTAGGTCTTTATACGAGCGTAAAAAAATCGTCGTCGACATGAGCTGGCATAGGCACACAGGCGAACGGTTTTAAAATTTGCTGCGATTGGGTGATATATTACGCTCGTCTACTCACAACATAAGAAAGAATTCGAATGAAGAGTATATATATCTATATATGTGTGTGTTATTATTCATTTATACATTCATATATCGTCTTTGTCTGGCCTAACGTCTAGCTATTTATAGGTAACCTTTAAGAGGCCTTTTTATTTTGTATTGGTCTTATTATCTCCAAAACTGAAACAGATTGCTATTTTTCAATGCTGACGTAATTATTATCTTATGTGTGCTGTGCTAGCTCTGTCTTTGTGACACAAATTTCATAATGGCATAGATTCACTATCGGGAAATGTTAAAAAAATAATTTTATGAGATTAAAAACAACCTAGCTATTTAATTGTGAACAATCTGGATAAATTGGGAAAAGCCTTGAATTATTAACGCAATAAAAACTTCATTGTAATTATTACAATTCCGTTTATAGGCAGTTTATGTTTCTAACCTTGCATCAATTGTCTATCCGTTTAGGCTCATTCACTAATGACTAATTCTCATTTAAGCTAATATTTTTTTCCACCATCCACAGCTCGCATGAAGTTATCTTAACTTCAGCAGAAAGATGATTCCAACGAAGAATTCGAGGAGGAAGTTAGGCGCTTAGTAACACTTGCATATGGTAATGTCACATCAATTGACAGGCATTATCATCATCATGGCAGCTGTATTTAAGAGAGGGTTTGATTATGTTTTTAAGGCGCTGAAGTTAACTTGAAATCAGTGATGGTTTACTAGAAATTTATGCCTTAACGTACAAATAATGACTCTAGTTGCCGGACAATGTAGTATTTTCACGAAAAAGGGTTATGTTCGATATCCCGACATTCATATGATGAGAATTAGGCCTATCTCTTAGTTTTAGAGTCAAAATCTATTGGAACTCAACGGCAATAGATCTAGACGGGGAACATTTAAAGTGCTTCAAAGTCATCATCTATGATGATTGTAAATGCATAAATTTACATTTGTTTTGTAAAATGGTTAAGTAGAATATAGGCCTATTTAAAAGAAAAATTACAAAAATAACTTGAAATTTAGTTGAATCAAGTCTCTGCCTTGCTATTTATTTTATGTGTAGGCCTATAACGTCAAGTTGGGTCTTTGGTATATAGCATAATGGCGGCCATTTTGTAGTTGGCAAAACTCTCTCAATTTAATATATATAATATATGGCTCTGCATTTTATTCATTCTTGTTTTCCTGCACTGTCACTAAACCAGGACGAGCCAGCTCATATCTGGCAAGGAACCAAGATATCGAAAAATTTCAAGATAGCTCTGCCTCAAAATTCTTGAGCTGGATTGTAGGCTCTAAGCCTATCTTGGTTCCAGATGTGATCTACAAAGGTGGGTTTCTTTGATTTTGCTCGTTCTGGTTTAGTGACAGTGCAGGAAAACAAGAATGAATAAAATGATAACTGGGGTGCCATTAACAAGGGAGGTTTCGTTAAATCATATCACGAAGTGATTTACCCATAGGAAAAAGCGCTCCTCTCATTGAAATTAATCGACCCGTGCGCAATGCATTGTTGTATACTGTGATATAGCTGTAGGCTCCACACAATTTTTATTTTGTCCTTTTTTTACTTTCGCTTTTATTAAACATGTTATTCTAACTTTTTTTTTTAAATGTTTTTGAATCAAATCAATTTTCAGTTTGATCTAGATTTACTTTTATTTTCATTTGTATTTTTTTTTCAATTCATTTTTATTTAGCCTACTTTCATTTTGATTCAGATAAAATCTTATTTATTTTTTTGTAAATTACATTTAATTTTAAATGTCTTAAGTAAACTTTTTCAATTTTATGAAGGATACCATAATTAAGGTAAATTGGAGAGTGGTCACACCGCCCATCTTCATTAGCCCACATGGTGCAGAAAAGTAGGACGTAAAACTCCATTCATTTCATTTCATTTCTTGACTTATGAAAAACGGGTCGAAATTTGTTTGTGAACACAATACAGACTATAGTTTTCATCCGATTTAAATGAAATTCGGTATGAATATTCATAATGATGAGATCTTAGTCAAGATTGAATTTGACGATTTTTTGATCAACGGAAATTGAGTTATTGCCCTTAGTAAAAACGCATCAAAATTTGTTCGATTGTTAACGCAACAGAGGTGACAGTTTATGTCAAAATTTTATTAAATTAACAATATCTTTCACAAATTGGATTTTTGGCATGATTTGACACAGATTGGTGACCGACCTTGAAAATGTACCAGGGAAGTGGGCGCATCTTGCTAGGCAACCGATGATAGTAAGAGTAGTAAGACATTCATTGATCTTAGACCTACCTTGACTTATAATGATTCCCAAAAACAATACTACCTATCGTGGACATGGGAAACAAGATTATGGTTGTTCAATTTAAAAAGTTTCTTTTCTAAAGCTTCTAAAGTACTAAATTTTGGAAAACCTGGTATGCCATTGTGGTTGCCATGAACCCGTACTGGAACGGGGAATTCTGAGAACGTTTTTAAAGGGTTTACATTAGAACTGGTTTAAGTTTTAATGACCTCTGCTCTCCCACCCCGGCTCTCCCTCTCTTCACTTGGTTTGTAAAAAATAATACAAGGGTTAAATGCAGAGTTTATTATAGATATAGGTCAGGCAGTATAATTATAAGGAGACAATATTATATTATACGATTATTCACAGTAGTATCCATCGAATTTCGATACTGAATTACCGGGACATTTTGCGCAAGCAGATCCTGTGAAGTAATGGTTCGCAGCACAGCAAGCTCTAATTCCCCGCTTGGTAATTTTACGTTTCGACTTCTTTTCTCCTTTCAGATTAACATTTCGTTTCGTTTTATCACCCTCTACGAAACAAAAAGTTACTCCTGCATACAGCTTGACATCAGTTTTGGGTTTGGGTACTATTGCTGAGGAAGGAAGTGAAACTACTTTAATCGTAAAGGTGTTGTAAATTGATGGTTTGATCGCACCAGTTCTTACACCACTAGATGTTATACACAGATCTAAAACTTTACTTTCATCACATATGAAATACGGGCTTCTGATCTGCGGATTCACACATCTCATGCTATTTTCATAATATCGTGTTGTGAAAGACGGAGTTTCAAAAATATATTTTGTTTCCGATAGTGGTTGTAATTTATTTTGATTACCGACAGTAACAGATGTCCTAATCAAGTGTGTCTGCATTCCCCCTATTGGTAGAATGAATAGATCAAAATTCTTGATATAAGCAACCTTATTCAGACTTTCTTCGTCAACCCATTTCCATTCTAATAAATCTTGTTTATCTTTTATCTTGATGTCAATAGACTCCTTCGCATACAGTTTCTCTAGATCCACATATCCAGTATCATTATCGTTTCTGGGTTTAGTGTTTATAGCAATATAATCTCTAATCTCATTGTTTGTATTACAAACTTCTTTCGGTTTATAACTTATTACATCAATAATATTTGTAAACGACGGATATGCCAGGGCAGTATGGCACGTGTTTGGCATCTGACCACCGTGAATATAAACCAATGTATTACAATATTCCTGTACAATAGTCCAAACGTGAAATATTGACAAAGCCATAGTCATAACAGCATACTGTGACAAAAAATGTCGATTTTCTGATTGCGCGGAACTATACACCTTTTTCATATCTTCAGCTTTTTTTGCTGCTAAATGAGCTCTTGCAGCTTCGGACAATGATGTCATAAGATCATTCTGGTAGTCATACATTTCTACATAGACAGTAACAAGCTCTGCCACTCGTATTTTAACTTTTCTGCAATCTCCTGAAGCTGCTATGCCCATCTCAACAATTGCCGATGCCGCAGAAGATCCCTCAGATAAAGTTTCGCAATAACTTTCACTTACTCCAGACAATTTTTCGCCATAGCTAGTGATGTCTGACTGTAACACAGCTGGTGAATAGTTATTATACATACTTAAAAATTCACTCACTTGATCTTCAACATCAGCACCACTCGCAAGACCGTCAACTACTTCCCTCGTCAATTTGATAAATTTTTGGTTTTTTGCGAAATTTGTTTTTAAGGTTATGGCTGTTTTTACCAAATCTGGAAGGTCATTAGCAGTGATTGATGCAACTCTAGATACTCCTACGCCAGCTTGAGCAAGTGCGTCAATTGCCGACAAAATGTCACCTATTGCACCGCCAGTAAGCCATTTTAATGGGTTTCCGGCTTCAACTATAAAAGTGGTCAATTCAGCAGTGCGTTGAACTAATTCAGCAAAAACTCCCACAAATGCTCCTATCATAATATTTTTAATAAAGTCGCCTACTGTTCTACACAAATCCTTTATTTTAGTATCAAATGTTTCTAAACTTCCTTTAATAAAACCAATATCAGCAACCGCTTTAGTTTTGTCGTAGTTTGCCAGTGAGCCGAAATAGTTAGCTAATGCCTTGAAGTTGGCTTTAAGGTCAGCTGAAAGGTTATCGAACAGCTTCTTAGTTTGTTTGTTAATCTTATTCGAGATGGTTTCCAACTGTAATTGTTCTAGTTGTGCTGTGTAATCGATTTGTGGATTCAACTTGACGACTTTCTTTACTCCCGTTTGGACTTTACCAGATGCATCTTGAATGATGTTTATTGTCGGTTCTAGTAAGCAATATGAACTGTATTTAGGGACAACTGGACTACATATTTTCCTAACAATATCTGGTGTAGAGTAACGAGCTGGTGGAAAGTTAGTGAGATACTTTGTCAATTTACGTAATTCATATGGTTGTAAAATGTTGGTGATTCGTTTTTGAAGTTCTGTTAACACTGGTAGCGGGACAGCCTCTGGTGAAATTACCTCTAAAACATGTGGATATATCTGCCAAACAGCTAGAGCATCACGAGCATCTTTGACATCTTGGTCAGTTAACGACTTACCCGCTTTTCGTAAATCAACATATTTCTTTGCTGCATCTGCTATTCTCTTTACCGTACAGTCTGGTCTGTACATCCAAAGTGCCTTACACTGATCATCTGTACATGGGACTCTTTGCGACCAGCCTTGAGAACAGTACTTGCCTTCGACATTTAAATATGGAAGATATTGATCAATATGTTTCTTCAAACCATTGTAATCGTCATTTTTGTAAAGTGAAAAGACTTGAGAGAGGAAATATTCCACTGTAAGCTTTAAGATAATAGTAGGAACATTGGTACTCTTTCTCCAATAGTCGAACTGTGTACCAGTGTCCCAGTGATGTTGAAAACTTGAATCAAACGTACAGGAATCAGGTCGTTCGAGTCTGATACAAGTTTCGAATAATACCATGATAGCCTTTGCCTTACAGTAGTATTGGATTCCTACTTGTTTCTTTCCATGTTTCGCACATTCAGCAGTAACCTTTTGTTTAACTTGACCCCATTTATTCCAGTTATTAAGAGTGTTTGGTCTAAATGTAGATGGTTGTCGATGGTATTGATATAGTTTGTAATATGTCTGTGTAACCATGCCAGAAGAGTAGAATGCACTTTCTATTGTTTGTATTGGTAAAATGAGGAGGACGTCTTCGTGGAATAGCTTATTGATGGCTGCTGATCTTGCGTCGGTGTCCGGGCCAAGTGGAGAAGCAATCTTCTGATTATCCGCTCCAATATTTCCAGCATCATAGCATGCCTGTACAGCCTCGTAAAATTTACAAGTGAAATCTTTAGCTAATGCGCAGTAGGGCCAAATCTTTGCGCCGGAGTTTTTCCAATCATCACAAACTCTTTTCAGTTCATCTCTTGCGTTCTTTATCGAATCCAGTCTACCACTAACGGTTCTGTATCGACTTACTTCTGAAGAAGTATAGTCAAAAAGACGAGCCCATAATGCAGTAAAAATACCATGTGCATCGTTTCTATTCTTGTTTAACCATTTGGAATACACAGTTTCAACTTGGTCGCTGTCTTTTGATATGGTTAGCCAGAATTCCAATTTCGAACCAGCGGCATCGTTTTTGCAAGCAGATTTTACCAGTGGAAGAAACCAGATAGAGGCCAGTGAAATCAATATGTAGATCTTCATCTCTCTGAAAATAACATAAAAAAATAGACTGTATTGTCGATCATTGTCTCCGAAAAACATTCAAAATGAGACCTTTCGCATTTTAATAATAATAATGTTGGCGCAGGATGTTGACGCAATAAGACAAACTTTTTTTTTTTTATAGATATTTGACAAGTAAACACTATCTCTATCTATTCTTCAATTATTTCCCTTGACTCGATAAAATCTAATTACCTCGACAATAGGATGGACAATAAATTAAATTTAAGCCCCATATATGTTACAGACTAGGCATATTGAAAAAAGGAAGATAATATAACTGCTCCGCTCAATTCTATTCATTATACATTGCTGTGTATGTCTGTCAAATATGGAGAAGAATTTAGGGCGTAAAATTATAATTTATTTAGTTAAATAAAGGAGAATACGGAAGCCTATTAGGGCCATTCATTTTTTATTTTTGGAATTTTCAAGTTAGTATGTTGAATTTTCAAGTTAGTATGTTGAATTATGAAAATTAACAGCAGGATTTTTAAAATAAGGTAAAGGACGTAGTTATATCCCTAGATTTTGGTCTATAGTTTTCGTTAATTTGAGCCCCGAAATTTTCCCACATCCAAAAAATAGTCTAACTGCCTCTTTAAGAACTACTCGAGGGGATGAAGCTTTATAACTTTAATTGTACTTTATATTATAATAATCTTATTTATTTTGAACCTCACGCTAGCTGTCAGTCGAAATGTAAAGTTGTGGTAAATTAACAATACTGGGATTTGATGAATAAATGGTTTTGTTTCAAAATACTGCTCCTGACTTGTTTGAAGATACCCTTTTTCTGAACTTAACATGCTTAAAGAGAAATTGTCATTTATAGATTTCAGAGCTTAATTTCAGAGTAAATAACGCCCGGTTCTTTAGCTATGAATTAACACGTAACGACGAATAGACGTAAGATTTCATAAAAAAGAGTTTTACGCCCTACTTTTCTGCACATGTTTGGACAACACCATGTTATGTTCAGCTATGTTAAGACAGTGACATAACTTCAGAAATATGGTATACTTACAAAGAAGAAGTCTCTTATTCACGCACCTAAAACGAGGCCTGAAACCTCACTGATGAAACCTATCTTTAGGGTGGCATATTTATACATTTTATCTAAAAAATTCAAATTGGAATATTAATGATATTAATTTACGTTACAACTGATGTACATCAAATAAAAAAACAAAAAAGACCGTAAATGTGATATCTGTATCTAAAATGGAATAGATAACATTGGTTCAATCAAAGTATACAAGAATTCTTCGTGTTTTAAAACAATAACAGAACAGAAGAAAAGGACTGAAAGTGACTTAATATAAAAACTAATATGAACAATTGGAAAAACGTAAAAGAGTCAATTTATAACTCTAACAAGAAGACGAAGCAATCCAAAATATATTTACAAGCAATTTAAACAAAACCAGCATAACACAAGACTAGATTGCGATAATGTATCCAAGTTTAAGAACAACACGCTCAGTTATCGAGGAATAACCCTTTAAGTTATCGGGGTAACTTACTAACTTTCATATTCAACCGACGCAAGAGATTTGAAATCTGAATGTGTAAAATTATCTACAAAAATTTGATGGCAGCAATCTTGATTGAGCAGTAAGGAAATATGTGATTCCCGTTTGTAAGCAAACATGGTCCTAATGATGTTATTATTGTTATTATTGTTATTATATCCCAATATTAATTCCTTCTCTTATCAAGATAAGGGTTTTACATGACATGATTGATTTAACTTACAACCCTTGGAAATAGGATATTTCTAATATTATGGGCGTATATATATGTATTTATTTCGTATCGGAAACAGAAAGACGCGAAATGAAGCAAAGCCGTGAAGTCTGCTCCACTCTAGAATTTGGATTTAACAAAGTATTCCGAAAGTTGTAAATTGTAGCAACAAATGTGACCTTTACTAACCATTCATTGACCCTGTTCATTGCATTTTAACTGTAATTACAGAATGTCTTTGAGTTACTGAAAATTCTTGCATAGTCCTGCATAGGACATTTACATTTTCCAAACAGATTTTTTCTTTATGCTATAACAGGCAACACAAATTTTTTGTATTGCATAAATTATCTTGATAAATCATATGTTCCTGTAAAAAGTGTTTTTTATTTTTAAATCATTAGATAGTTAATTAATATGCTGATGATTTATAATGGAACATCATATTATATATTATAAAACGTAGCATTGTAAAATATTGCAGTTATTGAAAGTTTGTGTTGAAAATCCAGTTATTTGCTTTCCGTTGAGAAAATAAGCTGAGGCCTTACGTTAATTTTTTAAATAAGTCACAGTTTTAGGCGATCAAGTTTGTAGTATCTCTTATATTCAAAATGAAACGTGTTTCTGAAGAAGGCAGTAAGCCGAAACGTCAAATAACAGGACAATAATATAGTTTTGAAACTAATATATGTTGGCGACATCAAGGACGACAACTTAATAGGCCTCAGATGAAGACTAGCAAATGTTGCTATAACTATAACCAATTTGTTTGTATTTGTAGTATCTCTTACATTAAATAGCTTGTTATTCATTGTTCTTCATTGCTATTTCCTATTTCTAAGTTCATATCTCTTAATTTGTACGTTAAATTTAACATCTGTCCTTGGCATTTTTAAAGAAACATCACAACCTGTAGCACACGGGAATCGGGTTTCTGTCCTTGGAATGACTACAAATTTTTACTGACATGGGCAAAACTGATTAGAAGAAATCTGAAGGGATTACACCATTAGATAATCAAGCAAACACCTGACTGAGACATATCGGCTCTCAATGGAATCAATAAGACAAGATTATTTTTATACCTTTTTATTAAATATAATATAAAGATACATCGTAAAAATAGCATATGATACAATAATAATATATAGTTATATGTAATCAAATTTATACATAAGACAAAATGTCTTTAGAGTAAGTTTATCCGTCCCTCTAAAATATGAATAAGTTATTGGTTTCGAAACACATTTTTCAAGATTATTACACAAATTCAAACATTTTCAAAGTACCATTTTATAGCTAAATATTAAACTGCAAGTAGCACAAAAGCAAAATCGATCAAAATGTCAGCCAGACAATGAAAAACGTTAATGAAACGCCATTATATAAAAAACATTAACATACTTAGTAAACATCTCAAAATGCAGAGTTAATTTTTTTTTTTAAATAAAAAGGGGTAATCGGAATGCCTATTCGCCTTCGGCAAAATATTTCATTTTATTAATGTATTATTTACACAGCAGTTGTAATAAATTTATACACAAACTTTGCCTGGTTGAACAATTAAATTCAGGTGTCAATCAACTTGACAAGAAAGTCTTTGTGAGAAAAAAGTCATTTCTCCAAGAAAGTTTCTGATGAAGATGTGATTCAATGCATTTTGTTAACGAGACAATTGCCAACTGTCCAATATCCAATAATACCCGGTAATTCTTATTAGTATTATAAATTAGTGACGTAGGAATCTTCGGCGGCCTCGTCGTCGGAGAAATCACCCAAACCAGATGGAAGAGGGATAATTTTATGGGTACGAGCAACTGCTAAAGCGTCATCCACATTCACAAAAATGTGATCGTTTGAGATTTTATCGTAGACGCCAGAATGTAGCATAGCATCTCTCATATCCGCAGAGCAACCGGCCAAAAACATGACTATATTAACATGCCCATATTCGGTAAACATGTGACTGATGACATTAGCACCGGAAACATCTAGATAATTGATAGCATTGCAATCAATGATCACGTGATGAGTTTTTCTCAGACTTCTTAATTTGGCATCAGTAACGACTTCTTCGCCATCTTCTGGGTCGATTTCATCATCATTATTAAATGCGGAATCCAAACTAGAGTGACGTCTTCCCATACGTGATTGAGTGTTGTTAAAGCCATTTTGTTTGAGAGTGTAGCTGTTGGATGACGTATCTTCTCCGAGATTAAAGGCTGGGTTGTCAATACTGGTAAAGCTTCCAAGACCATTTTCAATAGTTGCAATATTTTTGTTGTTAAGGTCTTTGGATTTAACTTGGTCCCCATTAGGAGCAGTAGCAATATCATTATTTAACTCCCTAACGATTACAGAATCTCTTCTAAATTCGCCGCTGTAGCCACCTTCCTTTTGTAATTTAGCCACCTTCTTTTCCTTTTTCTTCAGCAATTTCAATAATTTTCTTGGATTGACAGTCTTGCCGTACACTTGGCTTCGGAAGATTTCGGCATTGGCGAAGTATAGAGAAGAATTGAATCGGAAGACCTTAACACCAGGGGTTTCTTGTGAGTCTTGGTATTTCTTGTGTTCTACCCAGACACCATCCTTGGATTTGCCAACTCTGTATCCGGAAGCAAACTGTGTTTGGAAGACAACCGAGAGTAGGGAAACTCCAACACCAATTCCCAAACCAACATCAATGTCTAAGAAAACAACACTCAAGAAGGTTGATAACCAGATGACGAAGTCGTACTTGCTGATTTTCCAGTACTTATAACCAATAGATATCTGGATGAAGAGACCTTTTAGAGAGACGGCGATGATGGCAGCGAGAATAGATTTTGGAAGAGCAGCAAACAGTGGACTGATAACCATGATGATAAGTAAGATGAGAATAGAAGTAATTAAACCATTGATCATGGTCTTGGTATTCATAGCAGAAGCAACCATGGATCTCGGTGGCGCAACACTGGATGGAAAGCATTTCATGAAACAGCTAAGGAAGTTGCACATACCATAAGCGATCATTTCCTGACTGTCGTCGACTTCATAATTGTGTTTCTTGGCACAAATTTTAGCCATAGCAATAGTGTTGGCGAAAATGAGAATAGCAAGGATGAAACAGTCTACTAAGAAATTTGGAGCCTCGTCAACTGGTGGTAAAACTGGTGCTGGGATAGTATTTGGTATGGTTCCAACAACATCAGTTCCAAAGTTTTCATGGAATTCTCCAAAGTAAGCAGCTAGTGTACCAACAACTACGACGATCAGTTCAATTGGGATTGGGATGACAATTTTGTGCTTGAATCGTTCGTTGATGCAGTCTTTGACGATCAAAATGAGAACCATGGTAATGATGGCGCAGATCAAAGCAGTGATGTTAACATCGGTTATGTGTGTAAAGATTTCTTTGTAGTTCTTGACGATCTTGAAAATGCCACTGTGTCTCGTTACATGTAATCCGAGCATTGGCGTAACTTGACTGGTGAAAATATGGACAGCTGCACCTGATGTGAAAGCAGCAAAGAAGGATTCTGACAGGTAGGCTGTGATAAAGCCTAGTTTCAAGAAACCCATAGCAATCATCATCAGGCCACAGAAGAGAGTGACAGACATGGCAACACTTTCTTTATAATCAAGATATTCTGCTACTTCATCCACAGGGATTAATGTTCCATTAATGGTACCATTTATAGTCTGATTTAGTACCCAAGGATGGGTAGACTGAAACACTTCGCCCTGTCTCTCTACGACAGCAGCAGTAAGGATACAAATAACAGCACTGGTACCCATTGAAACGTGGGGGGAGGTTCCGAAAATCATGTAAATCAGCACAGGCCATAGAGATGTATACAGTCCATTTTCAACTTTGACAGAAGTAAGTTGTCCGAATCCCAAAGCTTGTGGGATATGGAGAATACCAACTGTTAATCCGGCAAGGAAATCCGTCAACAAATATTCTCTTAATTTATAATAACGAATGGTCTTGATAAGCGGGATATAGCTAGTGATGATCTTCCAGGTTCGTTTCTTTGAACAGTAGCAGTTATCCTTTATTTTGGAGATCTTGCTGGATGACGATGTATCACTATTCATGTGAAGTTCATCAAACTGTGCCTGAGTAAATGGTTGTCGTCTAAGAGTGATCATGCTCTCCGAGCCAAACTGAGGTGGACAGGAAGTTCGGCGAGTTTTCTCCTCTTCAAAATTTTGCTTCTTATCCGTCATCTTTATGGTGATTTCCAAGTCCTCCGACTCAGTACTGCTCCTTTCACCTGAAAATAGAAAAAAAACACTATTAAACGTCACGGACAAAACAATATTGTGTGCTGATTTCAAGCCCTGGTTTATCAGTTGTTGGCAAGATCAAGTTAGTAGAAACCTGGTGGTTGTTCAGCTCATGTTAACATTTGGTTGCCGAGTACACATGTAAACCCGTGGTTGTTGACAAAATAACCTAAGAGGATGTAGAAATGAAATGAATGGAGTTTTACGTCCTGCTTTTCTGGGCTAATGAAGACGGGTATGCTTTGCAGGCTCAAGTTAACTTGACAATATAATTAAGACAAAAGGGTACTTTGTGGGTTCATGTCAATCTGTGTTTTTGACAAAACAGTTTCACAATTCATTTGCTGTGTATCCGAAATTTGAAGACAAATTTTTGTGTTAAAAAGCTTAAACGAGAAACACTACTACTACGTACAAATTGGTGTTTGTTTTGTTCATGGTTACATTTTCATAATTAACAAGTGCTTGATAGTGTAGTAGTTACTCCAAAAAGTGTCAAAGACCTTCAAGACACTAAAAGTAATAAAATTTTATGAGTTGTAAACAGTTGGTTGATGACAAGAGTAACTGGGCCGTTTCCGATTTAACTTCCAACCAAAATCACGATTTAAGACTAAAGTAAAAACTTGTCAAAAGAATCCAAACAAAAGTGTGATCTTAGATTGTCGGTTCAATTCAATAGATCTCTTTGACGTGCCAATATTAAAATTATTTAGCTCGAGGCGAATTAGGTGGAATCAGACAAGTTTATTATATTGTAGGTTTTTTGAATATGATTTATGATCATGACGTCATTTGACCCCTGTACTTTCTGTTCTAAAGATATTTACTTTGATGTTTTCTTGACTTCTTCAAATGCAAAATAATGTTTCAATTCAGAGCACTGAAACTACATTTGAAAGAATTATAAGCACTTAAAATTAAAAGTGTTATCATAAGTGAAAGTGAAGTAACGTCGTTTAGTAAGGTGCACTTAAACCGCTTTTCATACTTGACATCATAATGTTAGATCCCGTTTGTTTGAAATATATCATAGTTAGATGGGTATATGCGCCGAGTCACTAGAAGATTCAGCAATTTTTTTCTTACATTTTTACAACATTTAAATCAAAGACGAACCGGAATTCGAATATCCATTGTGTCCGACTAAATAGTGGTTCTTCATGAGATCTCGCTTAAAATTATGATAGACACTTAAACTGAAATGGTAGTACTTGATACACATTTGACTGTTATACAACATCTTTATATTCTCAACAATCACTTTAAGTCATCAGCGGAGTTTTTTAATCAGAATTATTGATTTATGGTAGAGTGAGATCGTTTTGTGCTGTGGATATGTACTTTGGACTGGACAAAATTTTATATCAGTTTTTCCTTGCATTAAATTTTGGTTGCCGTAAGCGATTCCCAGATAATGTTAGTTTTTGTAAATTAATTTTGATTAACAGAGACTGATCATATATATTACATATACAAATTTGAGAAAAATTTCTTTACAATCCCTTTAAAAGCCTAATCCAAGAGATTAAACTCGGCTTTAATTTGTACGTAATTATCACCTTGACGAAAAATTGCCTCCGGTGACCCCGTGTCATTGTGTCAAAGGTTACAAATTTTCGCTGTCACCTGAGAACAAGAAAACATCCCTCTTAACCTGCTTAGCTCGTGCAATTGATAGCTTACCTGTGAGCTTACGTCGGGGATTACGTCATCTTATAATGCGATCATAATTTAAGAAGACATTACCATTTTATTATTGCCGTATCTGAGAAAGAGTATATAATAACCTAATAGTTGATAAATTTAAACAATTCAACTATCTTAGGAGAAGACCGTCTTAAATTATTCCTTCTGTTTCGTTACTGACATATTCTAATGGATTACATTAATCCTTACGTTCTGTATTTTACTCCAAATTGTGTTACCTTCCTATTAACACTATTTCAAATCTTTTATTTTATATTCTTATTTTAGCCGAAAAAAGATAATTCAAGAAAGCTTAAGAGATTTGAATATTGTTCATATCATTTGATAATATAGCTATAATTGGATATAACTCAAATAGTTGAAACAACTAAAAGTTGTCATAATGCCAACCTAGCTAGTTTGGCACGATAATTTCATATTCTGATGAATAAAAAGCCATGCCACGACATGTCTGTGCATCTTCCAACCTTCCATTGAGAAATGACTTTTTGGACGGCGAAGGTAAAAATTTACAAATCAAGAACATGAAATGTAACTTGCAGAACAAGAAAATGTGACATTGTGCACAAATTACGAAAATTCCCCATAAAAAGATGATGAACTATTTCCTTGACATCAAACATTTTAACTTCCGTAAATGTCAATTTTTGATACATATTTATGGAAGAATCGACCCTTTTTAATGCTGGTCTGACTTCTTAGAATTAAGAATAGGAACAGGAATCATCCCGTGGAATACAAATTTATCAACACTGAGTGGTTAGTTCTTAAAAGTCATGTGATGTTCGCCATGTTTCTGAGACAAACCATTATTTCATTATATTTAATTTTCCTGTAATCCGGAAGCCAAATGTTATCATAGGATTAAATTAGGATCGCCACTGCACGAACATTCGAGTTAATTCGATGAAACGTATCGAAATCTAAATGAATCCGTCATCTGTCAAAAGTTAATTTTTTTTTCTATTTTAAGTTCCTTTTGATGGATTACTGAGAAAAGAAACGTGATGTTGTAGTTGTTATTTTTTTGTTGAAGCATAATAGGTTAAGTTTTCAAATTAAACAGTTGGTATGGGAATGGTGTCTAGTTAAAGTACTCTTAGGCTATAGGAACTCTAAGACAACCGCTTATGGTCATATTGTCGTCTTTCTGAATAATTCCTTGTGATACTATCGAGGCACTTCATGCTTATCTTTCTAGATCTCCCGACTCCACAACCGACTTTGTCAACTCGAACTCGGCATCCCTTACAGAAGTCGACACAGCTGATGGTTTGTAATTTTTCAATTAACTATAGAAATATGAAATAGAAGCCAGAAAAGCTACTAATTTACAAACGAAATCTGGCAGCATTAACATGTCTCCATTCAAGGGAGTACGCCTATACATTGAAAATAAAATTGTTTTGCTATAATGTTCTATAGATGGATTAAATGTATATTTTGACGTTTACAGCATAATTAATGATATAAAATATGATATCTACCTTAAAATAAGTCTGACGTCCCCAATGAGATAATCCTTACACTGTGTTAACCCAACTCCCAGTTGAGCTGTGAGAATGTTGGATTAGTTTGAAAATCAACCTTATATACCTTTTACTTATCCACATCTTAGGCATCATCCATTAATCAAAAATCCGTCAAAAGTTACGTGAATTCATTTGTTCATAACTTTCACATTGCCACGCCTCCTTACCAGGATATTTTTGGAAACTTTTTAACTTGACGGCTTAATTGTCAAAGTGATACGGAACATAAATCGAGCGCAACCTATCATCCTCGCATGTTTTATCATTGTCAAGATGAATGGGCAGCCGAAAGAATATCCTTTCGTATGTCGAGAATGATGTCCGGATAGATAAATCGAACACATACCCAGCCAGAAGCAGTTTATAATCAATGTTTGACAGGACCATTAGAGTTGAGCTCGTATATCATATCTTGACATATCTCTATGTCATTTGGTCTGTTTGTAACTTTAACAATATGGTTGTCTATAAAATAATGGATGGATTTCCAATCCAACTGTTGAAGTTGTCATATAATATGATAAAATGTCATATTTCAATGCATCCATCAATACAGTCGATGACATTTTAATCTTACACCGTGATATTTCCTTTCAAATATTTCACATCAAGCAAGAGACATCTTTAAAACTAGGCAAGAATTTGAAGGTTATCCAGCAACGCAATCATGTTCATTGGCAATTCCAATAGTGATCTAAGGTAAAACATTGTTTCCTCGATTTAAAATTTGAGCAAAATCTGTCAAATATATGAAATCCTTGAAAACTTGAGTAACCTTAGTTGTTAGTTCATTGAGTTTCTTTTTTAAGTTGAATAAAAAAAAATATGTATTAAAAGATCAAATGATCTTTCTTACCAATATTTTCGTTTTGGAATTTAGCATTTTATGTGATATGTACAAATTAAGATCAATTTCACACTATTTAAAACTTCTAGGAACTTCATTAATTGTAGTTAGGGTATCAGATAGAGTGGCTCCCTTGGGATTTGTCCTTTTTTTGCAGTTGAGCATTGATAACTTCCTCCAGTTGGCAAATGACAATTTTGAATTGCTGACATTTTTAAGACTTTTTTTTTTAACCAAATAGAATACTATTCATTTGAAACTCAAAAATCGTTTTGATTGGAAATTGACCAGTATATTATTTCTGAATTTTTACAATGAGACAGACCTGCAAATTTGCCATTGTCATTCATTTTTAGATAGATCTATTACAAAATTTCATCTTAGGATTGACTGAATATCACATAGTTATTAAGTGGCATGTTAAAATGTCACTTAAATTTAGCGTATTACTATTAACACCATAACATTTTCAATGTGTGATTTTTAAATGATCAAAAGTTGTTCAAATCTGTTAATCTTTATAGATAACATGTTATTGTTGAATATATTTTTCAATTTTTTACGCTGCGATAAGATACACTTACGGAAAGCTTTAAAGGGATTTCAAATAGGATCTAAACTTTTCATAGGTATTAAGGACCCAATTTCCAAGTACTGTAATTCTCCAGTAAAATTAAGCTAAAGTTTAA